CTTCTTTACCTCCCCAAGGTCCACTCTATACATTTATGTGTACATGTGTGTGTGCACTCCTGTTCTCTCCCTTCCTTCCCGCCTCCCTCCCCCCACTTCCTCTTTCTCTTACCTGATTGGAATGAGTAACAATCAGAGTTCTCTGCTCTGGGAAATTGTGGTATATATTGGATATGATCTGAACCGCCACATCTGTTTTTCCTGTACCCGGTGGGCCCACAACCTAAAAAAGAGATAAACACATAGCAAACTACTAAATGGAATTCTAAAACTGAAAGATAAAATGTTTAAAAATCCACTGAATGAGTTTAATAGCTTAACAGACAGGATAGAGTCTATGAATTTCCAGACGGATCAATAGAAGTCACCTAATCTAAACAACAAACAGGAAAGAAGGGGTAAAACAAGTCATAGCCAGAGCCTCATGAATCTGTAATATTAAAAGGTCTAGCATTCATATCACTGAAGTCCTAGAGAAAGATGAAAACTATACAGTATAGAAAATGTGTTTGAAGAAATAACGGCTGAAAATTTCCCAAATTGGCAAAAGACATAAAAATCCACAGTATCAAGCTCTGCAAAACCCCTAACAGAATAATCCCAAAGAAATCTATGCCCTGACACACTATAATTTGATATCTGAAAACTAAAGACAAATTATTAAAAGCAACTAGAAAAAAAAGATACATTACATAGAAAAAGTATGTTTCAAATAACTGTATTTCTTATCAGAAACAATGGAAGTCAGAAGGATGTAGAATAACATTTTTAAAGTGCTGAAAGCAAAGACCTATCAAAGTAGAATTCTATATCCAGTGAAAATATCTTTAGAGTTAAGGTGAATTAGAGACATTCTCACATGAAGAAACCAATGATAATTCTTTGCTAGCAGGCCCGCTCTTAAATAAAGGATTGAGTAGATTGTGAAGAGTTAAGTATGTATATTGTAATTCTCTAGAGCAGCCATTAAGAAAAATTATACAAGGTATAACAAATGAACAAAATAAATCAATAAAAACATGGAACTAAAACTACACAAATAACTCTTAAGAATGCAGGAAAGGAAAAGCAGCAACACAAAACAAAGGGAACAACCATAAATAAAATGGCAGACCTAAATCCAGACACATCAGTAAATACATTACCTGGGGTCTAAACACACCAATTAAAAGACAGAGACTGACAGAATTCATGAAACAACATGCCCCAATTATATACTGTCTACAAGAAACTCACTTCCAATACAATAGGTAGTTTAGAAGTAAAATGATGGGAAAAGATATATCACATAAACACTATTCAAAGGAAAGCTGCAGTGGCTACATTAATATCAAAGTAGACTTTTGAGCAAAGAAAATTACCAGTGATGAAGAGAGACATTACTTCACCAAGAAGACATAACAATGTGTGTATACATATCACAAAGCTGTAAAATTTGTAAAGCAAAAACTGACAGAACTGAAAAGGAGAAACAGAATTACAGTAGGAGACTTCAATTCTCCTCTCTCAGTAATCAACTGAATATAAGCAAGGATTGAGAAGTACTGAACAATACTATCAATTGAATTCATCTGATTGGCATACATAGGACACTCTTCCACCCCCAAACCACAGAATACACATTCTTTTCAAGTTCATATGGAATATCCTCCAAGATAGATCACATCCTGGGTCACAAAACAAACCTTAACAAAATAAAAAAAACAAAAAACTGTAATCATATTAAGTATGTTCTCTGACCACAATGGATTTAGATTGGAAATCAGTAACTGGATACGAGAAAATCTCCAAAAACTTGGAAATTAAACACATGTCTAAATCAGTTGTTAGCAGACTTTTCTTTCAA